TAATGTAGATGTTGGATTCATTTACAGTGAGGAAGGGCGGAGGGTTGCTGAAGAACTACTGAGAGATTTAAACTGCTCTTTGGGCTTTCACTGCCTTTCTACACCTCCCTTTCTTCATGTGTTTTATACTTTTTCCCTGGATTTAATTTCAAAAATGTGAAATTTTATTACATTTTATTACAAATATCTGAATTTGTAAACTAATTAGATTTGTTTTATTTGCATATATAGATTTCGTTGGTTGTTACCAACATCTGGTGACAACTTTAAGTCAACAGCAGAAATATGTTTTCTAAGAAAAATGGTTCAATACGTGTTTTCCCTGCTGTATTTATTACTCTAGAGACTATATATATATATATATATAATTTCTTAGATTTTTTAAATGTCAGTAAAAGTCACTTAGGTAAATTATAGAGTTGAATTTTCAACATAAAAAGTCGACAGACCAAAGACCAAAATACAATTCACTGCTCTAAATAAGCAAAAAAAAACAAACAAAAAAAAAAACTTCTGAATCACAAAATACCGAAATTGCTAATTAACAGATATTTTTCACAGTGCACATGATCCTTCAGAAATGATTTTATTATGCCGATTCGCTGTTCAAGAAACAGGATGAGCTCAGGTAATACTTTCCACAACAACCTCATTATATTCCATTTTAGGGCATTTCGCCATTCCTTTGACCACTTCATTCCAAACTAATTAACATTTAAAAGCAAATCTTTGTTGCTTCTATTCTCCTAATTAGACCTCTGATTACATAATGGATGGGTTGCATTAGCTGATTTGAAATGCAAATCAGACTTAATGAATTTCAAAATTATAACGAGAGCAGGAAACAAAGAATAAAAGACACACAATCAGCTAAAGTAAAAAAATAAATAAAAATCAGTACAATACAAAGGACAAAACCTCCAATGCTTGAAAAGACATTACAAAGTAACCTGAATTGCCAAAATGCATAAATTAATGATTTCATTAATATCATTCTATTATTCTTCTGCTCAGAGTCAGAATTATTAGCCCACCTGAATTATTAATTATGACACTTACTGAGGCATATTCAAGTCTATTGACTAGAACAAGCTAATAATTAAGGCTAAAATGTCATTAATACAGTGTTAATAAAAGAAATTTAACCACTTATTCTAAAGTGAAATCCACATTCATTATGGTACTATTGAGGGATATTCAACTCTATTGACACGAACAAGCTAATAATTAGGGCTAAAATGCCATTAATTCAGTGTTAATAAATTAAATTTGACCACCTATGCTAAAGTTAAAAAATATCCACATTAATTATGACACTTACTGAGAAATATTCAAGTTTATTAACCAAAACAAGCTAATAATTACGGCAAAAACGTCATTAATACAGTGTTAATAAAGTAAATTTGACCACCTATGCTAAAGTGAAAGTGATATCCACATTAATTATGGTTTTTATTGAGAAATATCCAAGTCTATTGACTTGAACAAGCTAATAAATAAGGCTAAAATGTCATTAAAAGTGTTAATAAAGGAAATTTGACCAAATATTCTAAAGTGAAAGTGAAATCCATATTAATGATGGCACTTATTGAGGAATATCCAAGTCTATTGACTAAATCAAGCTAATAATTAAGGCTAACTTAATATGTCATTAATATGTCATTAATATTAATAATGTCATTAATACAATGTTAATAAAGAAAATTTGAACGACTATGCTAAAGTGAAAGTGATTTCTACATTATTATGGCACTTATTGGGTGTGATTAGTCACAGCTCAGTTAACTAACATACTAATGCTTAATTGTGTACAAATTAACTATAATTAATGCTTAACTAATGCATTATTTTATTCTAGCCAATATAAAACAAATAAGACTTTCTCTAAAAGAAAAATAATAATATAGGAAAAACTGTGAAAAATTCCTTGCTCTGTTAAAAAAAAAAAAAAAAAGAAAATCACTAGAGAGCTAATAATTCTAAACAGTGCAAATAAAAACAGTCCCATTACATTAATGGACACAACCAGAAATAGTGCTAATCCAGTAATTGTTTCACGGTTCAGTCACTATTTATTTAGCGTTAGTTAGTATTTATAGTTTGCAATAAAATGCTCCCAATCCCCGTAAAAGCTTGCTAATTAAGAAGCAAATGCCTAATGCCTTTTTCTAACATCGATTTTTTACTAATTTCCCGCTTGGTTAGTTTTCACTGATGTGTCTGGCGAGTTTAACAAGCTGACCGAACCTGCGAGACACAACTGCTACTTCAGCAGCCAAACGAATGTGCTGATAAATGGCAGACCGCGGGCTGTTCTGTTATCTAAACCTGATAATATGACAGATGTGCTGACGGCTTCATTCAGGCACATCAGCCAGACCTTAATCCGTTGTACCTCAGTTCTTCTAACAAGGGTGCATGTAGGGATTTGAAAGATATTGGAGTATCTGAAGTAAAAGGTCTGTCTGAATCGCTTTGACTGAGTTCAGCTTTCTTCAACGCCCCACCTACAGAAAAGTTCTCTGATTGGCCAGTCGCCTCAGTGCATTCTGATTGGCCAAGTACCTCAAACATGTGATAGAAAAGTAACACTCTTTGCAGTAATTGCCAGATTACAGTGCAATGTTAAAGTATTTAAAAGCAATAGTAAATACAGTTAATAAATGGCATTACTATTACAAAGGACCTCAAGCTGGGAATCGAACCTAGGTCACTGTGAGCACCTCAGTGCCATATGTCGGTGCACTTTATCACACTATTGGCGCAGACAAAAGCCAGCATTTTTACAGTGAAGCATGTTGTGGGGATTTGTAAATGCTAAATGGGTTATCTGAAAGACAATGAATTCATATAATAATAATAATAATAATATATTTGAAGCCCCTTTTAAACCACTCAAGGTGGTTGCAAAGGGGCCTAACCCTAACTAATATATATATATATATATATATATATATATATATATATATATATATATATATATATATATATATATATATATATATATTTATAGCAGCAGCAGCAGTAACAAAATGACAGCAATAAAATAACACAATACATAACCTAAATAAATAACCTAAATAAGTGTGTTTTTAATTGGGCTTTAACCTGAGATAATGTATCCAAAATAAGTTAGCTGGGAGGAAATAAAAAAATCTAAATAAAATCAAATAAAATGTCTTTTTTTTACCGTTTAAAAGTACACAATGGTTTGTTTTGTAGACTATAAAAATATATAGCTTAAAGGGGCTAATAATATTGACTTTTTTTTGTAATTTTATGCGGTATATATATATATATATATATATATACACACACACACACACACACACACACACACACACACACACACACACACATACATATATATACAGTATATATACATATATAAATGTCACTTTAAGCTGTAGAAGTGTCTTAAAAATATCTAGTAAAATATTATTTACTGTCATCATGGCAAAGATAAAATAAATCCGTTATTAGAAATGAGTTATTAAAACTATTGTGTTTAGAAATGTGTTGAGAAAATCTGCTCTCCGTTAAACAGAAATTGGGGAAAAAAATAAAGAGGGCTAATAATTCTGACTTCAACTATATATATTTGTGTGTGTGTGTGTGTGGTCATACATTACTAGCAGAAACTATTTTGAGGGCATTAAATTTAGTTGAAAATCATTGAAAATACTGGCAGTGGCTGGCATCTTAAAAAAACAAATGCTTGTCGGGAAAAGTTAAAGAGTTTTATGCATGAATATGAAGAAATGAGCATGAAATTTGTAAATTTTATCTGTGAAAATGTCTATCAAAAGCTAGAGTCAAAATCTATACTAAATTTGCTATCCTGTTGTTCATTCTCCACACTTGTGCTTGTATTGATTTGATCTTATTTGGTTGTATTTGAAAAACCTACAAGCAGAAAGTTGAATCAGTGCCTGTGACGGACAGAGCAGCTCACTGATCAAGATGCGTGAAATACTGGTGGAAAATCCTAAATATTGAATTTAGGGTGTTTTTTATAAAGGCATCTATGGATATAACTCAGTTCATCTATGGGCGAGCTCAGAACAGTTTAGATGATGCTTTCTTTAAGTTTAAGTTAAAGTTTAACAACTTTTTAAAACCCACTGGGGCAATTAAATTAGGGCAGCAGCATCATGATACAACAAACACATAAAGAGACAAATCACTTACACTTTGTAGATTATCACCATAATAAAAATATATTTGCTATATTTTCACATTATATCTGCTATATTGCTTGATCATCTTTAATTATTAGTTCACCCAAAACTGAAATATCTGTTATCATTTATTCTTCCTTGGTTAGCACTGTCACCTTACAAAAAGAAGGTCAACAGTTCAAGTCCCTACTGGACTAGTTGGCATTTCTGTGTGGAGTTTGCATGTTCTCCCCTTGTTAGCGTCGGTTTCCCCCACACTCCAAAGACATGTGCTATAGGTGAACTAGATGAATCAAATAGGCCGTAGTGTATGAGTGTATGTTAATGTGAGAGTGTATAGGTATTTCCCAATAATGGGTTGCGGCTAGAAGGGCATCCACTGTGTAAAACATGCCGGAAAAGTTGGCAGTTCATTCCGCTGTGGCAAAAGGTAAGCCAACTAAGCCAAAGGAAAATGAATGATTGAATGGAAACCTGTAACTATCGACTTCCAATGTATTTGTTTTTCCTACTATAGAAGTCAATGGCTACAGGTTTTCAACATTCTTTGAAATATCTCCTTTTGATGTGTTTAACAGAATAAAGAGAATTGAAACAAGTGAAGAGTGAGTAGAAAATGAGCACGTTTTTTTTTTTTTGTTGGGGGGGACGACTATTCCTTAAATAAAATCATGTAGTATGTGAATGTTTGAGACTAAAAATCTTATTTTCCTTATGTTTCATGCAAACAGACTTCATAATCAGGTCAAATGTAACAGCTCATGTAGACTAAAAGATAAAGGAAAATATTTCAATGCCTCATAAATAGGAAATGCTCACCTGTAGACAGCAGTCAGGGGTCGTTTGGATCCTGCTTTAGGCCTGTAGGGTTTGGGCTCTCCAGCCATGTTAATATCTGCAGAAACAGAAGAACCCAGCATCAAACATCTGTAGAAATAAGTTCTCTCAGGATAAAGTCACAGGCTTTGTTCATTTTAAACCATGACCAGGCAAATAAATACATGCATCTTCAGTCTTTAATGACTGGAGCGTGATGGACAGAACAATGCGGTGCCTGTTTGATGTTCTGCAAATAATTTGCTGCCATGGGATCGTAAAACCAAAAGAAAGCAGATCCAGTATTCTGAAAATGCAGCAATATCTTTTCTCTAAACCTGTTTTTGTGCAATTTACCTCTTGAATAACAACAGCATGAGATATTCATGAAAAACGCAGTCCATTACCAAGACAATTCACAAGCAGAGGGCAAGCAGAACCTTTGTACACGGGCATATTTGGCGAATAGGCATTGCATGTCAAATGCTGATAATAACAATGCAAATAGTGCAGCGCTTAGAGTTATGCAGAATAATACACACTTTAGGTCTTTGTAGTCACATAAACATACACTTACCGGCCACTTTATTAGGTACGCCTGCCCAACTGCTTGTTAATGTAAATTTCTAATCAGCCAATCACATGGCAGCAACTCAATGCATTTAGGCATGTAGACATGGTCAAGACGATCTGCTGCAGTTCAAACCGAGCATCAGAATGGGGAATAAAGGTGATTTAAGTGACTTTGAACATAGGTAGGTGCCAGACTGCCTAGACTGAGTGTTTCAGAAACTGCTGATCTTCTGGGATTTTCACGCGAAAAAATCTCTAGGTTTTACAGAGAATGACCTGAAAAAGAGAAAATATCCAGTGAGCGGCAGCTCTGAGGGTGCAAATGCCTTGTTGATGCCAGAGGTCAAAGGAGAATGGCCTGACTGGTTCGAGCTGATAGAAAGGCAACAGTAACTCAAATAAGAGGTCTGCAGGTCCAACCTTGAGGCTGATGGGCTACAGCAGCAGAAGACCACACCGGGTGCCACTTCTGTCAGCTAAGAACAGGAAACTGAGGCTACAATTCGCACAGGCTCACCAAAATTGGACAATAGAAGATTGGATAAACATTGCCTGAGCTAATGAGCCGCGATTTCTGCTGCCACATTCGGACAGTAGGGTCAGAGTTTGGCATCAACTACAGGAAAGCATGGATCTATCTTGCCTTGAATCAATGGTTCAGGCTGGTAGTGGTGGTGTAATGGTGTGAGGGATATTTTCTTGGCACACTTTGGGCCCATTAGTATTAATTAAGCATCATGTCAACACCACAGCCTACCTGAGTATTGTTGCTGGCCATGTCCATGCCTTTATGACCGCAGTGTACACATCTTCTGATAGCTTATTTCAACAGGATAACGCACCATGAGTTCATAAAGCTCAAATCATCTCAGACTGGTTTCTTGAACATGACAATGAGTTCACTGTACTCAAATGGCCTCCACAGTCAACGGATCTCAATCCAATAGAGCACCTTTGGGATGTGGTGGAATGGAAGATTTGCATCATGGATGTGCAGCCGACAAATCTGCAGCAACTGTGTGATGCTATCATGTCAATAATAAGCAAAATCTCTGAGAATTATTTCCAGTACCTTGTTAAATCTATGCCACAAAGAATTAAGGCAGTTCTGAAGGCAAAAGGGGTCCAAGCCGGTACTAGTAAGGTGTTCCTTATTAAGTGGCCAGTGAGTGTATTTACAAATATACACAAAGGAAAATAATTAGGAGGACAATAGTATTTTCAATACCACAAGTGCAAATGTTTTTAAAAATTGTGCAATAAATATATTTTATTCAACAATTAGCTTCCAACCTTTCAAATGTTTATTTGGGATCTGTTTATACAATTTCTGGAACATAACTATACAATGGCACAAGCAAATACCTCTCACACTATTGATTGATATATGTATATGTGTATTTTTATTTGTGGAATACAGTATATGTTTTTCTTTGCCTTAGCCCATGTATAACAATAAATCTACCTGCTAAACTGAATCTGGATGCTTTGAGGGAGGGAGGGGGGGAAGAGTTAAAATGTTAAAAAAAAAAAAAAAAAAGTGTATTTTCATGTTAAATTTCAAGTGTTTTTTCTACAATAAAAACATTTTTATAAAAAAAAAGAAAAAAAAAAGAAGATATTACCAACAATTAGCTGATTAGTCACTGGCATCTCTAATTTATACAAAGAGCACATCTTTTAAGAAACCGCAGATTAAAAACCTAGGCTATATTAAAACATTTAATTCCAACTAATACTGAAACATTTCATTTCACTGCAGAAGAGAAAGGGATGAAAACAAAAATGCTCCAAGCACTTGACCTTGATGCACACACAGGTATGTACATTAAAGCATTTATTTTTTCTATCTGACCATCATCCTTGAACGACGGGATATAAAATACAGAACATTTGTGAGACTTATGTGTGGCGTCTGACCCAGCAATCCTGTTCACAACATTCAGCACAAAAAACACACAGTAGCGCAGCTCCAATGCAACACACTAAAAAGAAAAAGTGCGATAGCAATGCTTTGAGATGAATGAGATGCATTTGGTTCCATTCACAGCTTGTAGCTCTGAAATCTCTCACTGAGAGCGCCGGGTGTAAGCATGCTGACTGAATTTATGCTCATTTGCTTTGATAAAAAAATTAATAATGTAATGTAAATATTTAATTAAATAAAAGTGAATAAATAAACAGTAATATATTCATTCATTCATTTTGCTTTGGCTTAGTCCCTTATTTATATCAGGACACCTGAGTGGAATGAACTACCAAATATTCCAGCATATGTTTCATGCAGCGGATGCTCTTCCGGCTGCAACCCAGTAGTGGGAAACACTAATGCACTCCCGCATTCACACACACTCATACACTACGGCCAATTTAGTTTATCCAATTTACCAATAGTGCATGTCTTTGGACTGTGTAGGAAACCGGAGCACCTGGAGGAAACCCACGACAACACGGGGAGAACATGCAAACTTCACACAGAAATGCCAACTGGTCCAGCCAGGACTCAAACCAGCAACCTTCTTGCTGTGAAGTGACAGTGCTAACCACTGAGCCACCATGCCGCCAACAGTAAATGCCATTTTAAAATGAAATGCAATTTACCATGATATGAAAAAAAAGCTTGAGGAAAAGTGATGCATTCAACTTAATGAATCAAATAAACAAAGCATACAGAGCTCTGGGCTGCGAAGCTACTGTAAAACCTCTACAGCATTGAGTCTTATGTCGGGGCGTCCACAGTAATGATGGGAAGTTCGGATCATTTTACTGACTTGGATCTTTGAGTCTCGCTCATCGAGATGAACAAATCTTTCTGAGTCATTTGGTTAATTTGGTTCAATTTGGCAAAATATTATTAAAATGTTACAAATTGCTTCCAAACACATCTACAACTAGCCCAAAAGATTGATCACACGACAAATAAGTCATATATAGAATACTATAAGAAGGAGAAAATAATAATTCAATGTTTACCTGCTCTTTTGCCTATGAAGGTATTTTTTATCTCTTTGCTCACCTCACCTCTTCATGTCTTTAAATGTCAGTGGTTCGTTCATGTTACACTGACAGTCACATATAATCTTAAAGAGCCCATATTATACATGAAATAGGGTCATATCTTGGTTGTAAGGGTCTCCAACAACAGTCTAATATGCATGCAAAGTCAAAAAACACTTTCATGGTCTTATAATCTGCATTTATTTTTACCTAATTATTCCAGCGACTCCTGTATGAATCGTCCAGTGATTCATTTGTTCCTAAACCCCTCCTTAGCGCGAAGCTAATCTGCGCTGATTGGACCGATGACAGTCTGTCACGATTGGTCGACTGCCTTCAGTCAGAGAATGAAATGCCCAATAGCTAATCAGCAATATAAAAGTAATCACAGTTCATACGCGCTCCATAGTGTAGGCGTGGATTTTAGCTGCCACACACACACACACAAACACACACACACCTCTGGACGACAACGCTTCCGCCCGCACCCGCCAGGTTTTAGCCTGAACCCGACCGCTCCCGCTTATATTTAGAATTTCTTGTCCCGGTGCCCGAACCGCCCCGTTTTCTACCCGCCGCGCCCGATCCCGCTAAAGAGCGGGGGAGAACATAACTGAAAATCACCCAGCAAAACAGTCCAGAGACAGCCAGACAGAGCTCTCTCTCTCTCTCTCTCTCATATGCACGCACTAACACATACACAAGCGACAAGCAGACACACAGGCAGGCAAAGCTCTGTCTCATTCGCATAGTAATATCCACGATATTGCTAGACAGCCCGCTCCCGTCCCAAATTAAACCTGTTACCGACCGCTCCCGCGATTGATTCGGAAATTTATTCCCACGCCGCAGAAATCTGGCGCGGGGACAGCCGCGGGAATGCAGACCTCTACCACAGAGCTCCGTAAACAAACAGCACGCGTCGCGTTTTTAACGTGACTTTGCACGCGATAAGAGAATATAGCCAGTTAACCTGATACAGTACACGCGGTTACAAGTAACAAATTACAACTAAATACATTTGCAAGCTAGAGTCAACAACTTTAATCGCACGTACTTACATTTGAGAAATGGAGGAAGAAACTCATCCTGACGTCCATTAGTAAGTTATTCTTTACTGATCCTTACTTTAACAAACGCAGATGAAGTATTCTTTGTAGCCTGTAGTTTCCAGAAGTTTCCAACTGCTTGGTTATAATGCTGAGGTTTCATCTCTGGGTAGAGAATCGATAATGTCCATCTGCAGTGTGACTTCAATCGACCGGCATGTTTGTGTGCGTGTGTTTGTGGGTGTGGGTGTGTGTGTGTGTGTGTGTGTGTCTGGGTTTCTGCGTCAGAGGGCGGGGCCTCAGGTTTGAAATCTCCCGGGTTTGCGCGTGCACGTGAATAACTTGGTTTCGTTCGTACGTCATGGCGAAACACCTAATGAGTCGGTATCAAGGCGACTCGTTCGAAGCACTATGAGTCGACTCTTTTATAGATGAATCAACCGTTTTAAACACTGTATTC